GTCATTATTTCTCTCTTATGAAAACCCACAGCTTTAACACATGAATAGTTAACTTGTCTTCATTCTGGTTAAACTTTGGGAAAGAAGAGGTAGGCACTTGATTCACTGGTGTTGGCTGGATAGAAAGTAGCAGGCATCCTTACAATAGACCAATGTCATCAGCCTTATAAAATTGTTCAGGCAAAGATTATGCTCAGAAATAAAATATCTGAATAATAGCAGTTTTTTTTTTGTAGGTTAATTTTTTTCCTAGTGTCATCTACCTATTGTATACCCTTTTTATTCCCCATGGTAAACATTCTGAAAGTTATTTTCCCATCTAAATCATTTCTCTCATCATGGTTTTTTTTTTTTTTTTTTTTTTGGTCCTTGTATAGTTTCTATTCTTCTCCTCACCCCAATCCACTTGTAGAAACTAATGTCTTTTCTCTATTGAATTTTATGTTTAGGAAATTTGCTTCATATTACCTTTAGGTTATTTTAAATAGTAATAATAGCAACTACAATATCTACACCACATAGAACATTTAACTATGTGTCAGTTATTGTTCTGCTTTACATTGCCAGGTGTGGTGGTTCATGCCTGTAATCCCAGTATTTAGGGAGGCTGCAGTGGGAGGCTCACTTTGAGGCCAGGGGTTCAACATCAGCCTAGGACAATACTGCCAGATTCTATTGCTGCAAAAAATACAAAAACCAGCCAGGCATTGTTGTGCACACTTGCAGTCCCAGGTACTCAGGAGGCTGAGGTGGGAGGATCGCTTGAGCCTGGGAGTTTGAGGCCGCAGTGAACCATGATTGTACCACTGCCTTCCAGGCTGGGCAACAGAGACCCTGTCTCTAAAATAAATAAATAAACACTAAGCTACTCCATGTTATTAATATTTAATAGCCATAATATCCCTAAAAAGGAGGTATTATTCTTAGTTCCATTTGCTAGATGGGGCACTTGATAGCACAGAGAGGTTAAGTAACTAAGATTGCAAAGCCAGTAAGTGGTAGTCAGGATTCAAACCCTGACTTCACTTGACTTCAGCTGCAGAATCTGTGGACTTAATCAACAGACTAACCTCTAGGCACTAGTAGATATTATCCTTAAATTATTTTATTTTTTCCTTACCCACTAATATCATCCTGGCCCAAGACCTCATTTTCATTCATTCTTGTGTATCTTGGCCTCTCAGTGGTGTCTTCCCTTGTGCTCCTCTAAACCATAGTTATCTCACAGCTGATGAACTTTAGTGCAACCTAGTACCTTCTTTAGATGCTTCTAAGAGGTGCAGGGTTTATTGTCTCAAACTCAAGAAACTACCTACACTCTATATCCTAAGTAGGAGACAGTAGGTTATTCATTAATTTTACAATGTATCAGTGATCTGGGATGCCCTTTGCGCTCCAGCTGAGGGCTAGGTAAGAGAGAATAAACAAAAAAGCTAAGAAATTTCTGGCAAATAACCTTTCACCTAGGTCCCCAAACCTTCCATTTCCCCAGGCCTGAAGCGTATCTGAAGCAGGAACTCAGGGGGAAACATCCCAGGAAAAGAACTCCTTTAGGAATAGGAAAAGCCATGTTTTTCTGGGTACAGTAGGAATGATGCAGTAGAGGCAGGTCTAAACTGTAGCAAAGCTATGAATTTAGAGCTTTGCAAAGAAAAGGACAAGTTTATCCTTAAGGTAGAACCAGCTTTGACAAATGGCTAGTGCTGTAGGGAGCCACAAGGATACAGAAGACAGAACTTCCATCTAGTCCTGAGTCTGAGAATATTAGAAAAAAGGAAGCAAAGATGTTACTAGAGGAGGGTATGAAGACCCGGTGAAGTCTTTGCAGGAAACAGATGGAAGCACATTCTTCTCCTGGAAGGAGTGCAAAGACCAAGCCTCAGACCTAATTCCAGAGCCGGAAGAGAGGAAAGAGGCCATAGAGCCCCTGAGAATCTCACTCGTCAGAACAGTGGTTCCAGCCTCTGTGGGTTAGGTAACATCAGGGAAGATATATTGTGGGCTATGGGCTTAAACTGGCCCACAGGCCTGTTTTGTCTGATATGCTTTTGTGTTCTTAAAAAAAAAATGCAATGAGTTGTCAACATTTAATATTTGGGAGATTTCACCCCAAAACTCAGATTCCTGACTTCTCTTGATTTCCTAAATATCACATTCCCACATGGAAACCATCAGCTCCAGCTGCAAGTGGCTGTGCCCTTTAGATTTGCTTGAGCTGTGGACCTTTATGTTTAGGTTAAAACATCAATCTCAAAAGTTTACATGCTATATGATTCCACTTACATAACATTTTTGAAATGATGAAAATATAGAGATGGAGAATAGATTAGTGGTTACTAGAGGACAGGCATGGAGTTGGGAGAGCAGTTGCAGTGCGGAGGGGGATTTGTGAATACAAAAAGGTAGTATGAGGGAGTTATTTCGTGGTGATGGAACAGTTCTATGTCTTGATTATAGGAGTGTTTACAAGGATCTGTAAATGAGGCAAAGTTGCACTGAACTACACACACACACACACAAAACAGAACACAGGTTAAGAAAATGGCAAATAATACATTCTGTAGTCTAGTAAACAGTAATGTACCGTTGTCGGTTTCCTGGTGTGAAAGTTGTCACAATCAAAATGGAGTCACTAATGTTAAGAAACCCTGACAAATAGAGCTAGGGAAGGCTACGAAAGACAGGGTTCTTACATTTGTATGCCTGATAACAAAAACTATCAAAAAAGACTGCAAAAACCACAACCTTGCACAAAGGCCATCACAACCTTACACAAAAAATACTTTTGCAAGGACATCTGCCCAGCAAATGCCTGTCCAACCTCGGACTGGCGTCACCCTTGTTATTGATCTTTATAGTCAAGGATAATTATTTCAAAACAATTATGTAATCCTTTCCATTTTTTCCTTTAAACACCTTTGTCTATGCAGACAGTTAACTATGAGATGCATATTTTCATTGCAATGCTCTATTCCCAAATAAACATTTTCTTTTAGAAAGCCTCTCTGTTATTTAGGTTGACACTGGTTTTGATGTCTTACTAGAGCTTTATAAGATGTCACCATTGGGGGAAGCACGGGACTCTGGACTATTTTTGCAACTTCTTGTGAGGCTATAATTATTTCAAAATAAAAAGTTAAAAAAAAAAAAGGAAAAGTAAGTAGGCTGAGTACCCATGGGTGGTGTTTAGGGAAGTGAGCAAGAGGAGCATGGAGAGCCAATCTGAAGCTGAGAAGTTTCTCCAGTTTAACTTATAAAGGACTTAAACTTGCTTCTCACCATTGCTTCTGCTGTTACTATCCCTGTAGTGCTCTTTATTCTGCCCATTTTAGACAGCTGTTTCTCTATTGCTTCTTCGTTAGGCTGCTGAGCAGAGACCTACATCTATTCCTAATAGCAAACCAATCAATCCTAGCCCATTGGGTGTAACCTCAGTTATTAGTTTTCCCACTGCCTAATACTGAGTCGGGTTCCTTGCTGCCAGAGGTGTTTTTTATTATGACATCTGAATTTGATGCCATTGCAGGTGCTAGAAGTTGCCAGAAGACTGTCCTCCAGATAACTGTCCCTTGGCTCTAACTTGTATCACTGTTTTGTTGCAATTAACATTCAGAATATGCGCAGTCATCTTATTAAAATTTGTATTTTTTAATGGGAAAAGCACACAGAGAGAGCTGATTGTGGAGCTGTGGTTTACTCTTTCTCTTAGTTACCTGTGTCTAAATTAAGCTGAACCTCTGGGCCTTAGCTATTTCTAAATAGGCATCACAATTTACTGAGGTTAATGCCTGAGGGAACATTAACCTTGCAGACACTAATCTAATTCAGTATCATCACAAGTGCATAATGCAGGAGTTTGGAGTTTTGCCAAAAAGCACTATTCAAATGAACATTTAGTTGGCAAGGGGTGGGAAGGTGGGTGTGGAAAAGGGAAGGAGGACACCAGAAATGGCTCTATAGATATTTTCATGCCTTTTCTTTTCCCTCTCCCCTCAAAGGTTACGTTTAAGTACCGCAGAGAGGTGCTAAATGGAATCTTCAGATTATTATGAAGAAATCGCAATGAAGGCGTTTTATCCCAACTGCAAGTTCCAGATGCTCACAACTACTCAACATTCACTGAGCATCTTTTATGTTATATGGCTGACCTTGTGCTAGGGTGGGTACACAAAGATGAGTAATTGTAAACGATGGCAGTATGCACAAGCACCTCAGGGCGCCTAATGCTAGTTGATGAAGGCACCATTAAGGAGGTCACAATTTGGCTCAAGGGCCCCCAAAGGATGAGACAACTGTGTAATCCTAGCTCTATAGAGATCATTACCAAGTCTTTGCCATACAAAGTTTGGGCTTCAGGTGAAATGGGAAGGACAAAGTTCTGCCCAAGAGGGTCCAGGGCCGGATCTCTTGATCCGTCTCTATGCCTACACCCTGCATCTTAGCTTGCGGACACTAATAGGGTTTGCCAGTTTCAAGGACGCAGGGCTACGTCTGCCGGAAAAGGTGGCATTTGAAGGTGGTAGAGGCCAACGACTGGAGGTGGCGGCGGAGGACTAGTTAAGAGAGAATAAGTGAAAAAGCCAAGAAATTTCTGGCAAATAACCTTTCATCTAGGTCCCCGACCCTTCCATTTCCCCAGGCCTGAAAAGCTCCCGAATCCCCGAGTCCTCCACTTCTCTGAACGCTGGGCACTGGTTAAGGCTGAAGGAGCAGGGAGTCCCCCGCTCTAAGACAGTTCCTCAGTTCCGATCTTTTTCAAACCGCTTTCTTCCCGGGCCCAGCCTGGGGGGCCTGCAGCTCGGGTCCAGCTTCCACGGCCACCCTGGGCTGGTGACACGCAGGCGCCGGAATCGAAGCCACGCTGTGTCTTCCCAGCCAGGTCTCTGCGCCAGACGAGGGCGGGCGCCGCGGAGCGCTTCCCGTGTGCGGGGCTTCCCACAATGCACCGGGCCGGCAGTGGCGGCGACCGCGGCGGCGCTCTAGCTGCGGCATGTCTGCGTCTCTACTGCTCTGGGAGGAGGAAGAGAAGGAGGAAGAGGAGGAGGAGGAGGAGGGGGAGGAAGAGGAGAAAGGCGCAGGGGTGGGAGCTGTTGCCGAAGCTGCCACAGCAAAAGTTCTCCCCCCTCCCCCCTTCCCCTCCTCTCAAGGCCCCTAGAAAGGTTGGAGCTGCCGCCGCCTGCAGTCGGTGACCGCGCGACTCGGCGCCCGCCCGCGGTAAAGCGCTCGGCCTGGCAGGCCCGGGCCCGGGGGAGGGCGGGGGAGGGGGAGGGGGCGGCGCGCGGGGGGAGCGCGCGGCGGTAACGGCCTGACCCCGGGGGGAGCGAGCCGTGGCGAGGCTGGGGGTGGCCGGGGGGCCGGCCGAGGCCGAGGGAAACGCTGGGGCTGGCCGGGGGACGTGAGGAAGCGGGGCGCGGAGGGTGGGTTGGGGGGTTGAGGAGGGATAATGACGGGGGTGGCGGAGGCGAGAAGGCGGCCTCCGAGGCTGCAGGCGGGTGTCAGAGGTAGGGGAGGAGGTGGGATGTTTGCACGGGGAGGACAGAGGGTGCTGGGTGTGGGTGTGAAAAGGCTGGGGAGACACCAGGGCTCTGTCCACCGTGCCTGGTGCAGTGCTTTATGCACCGCAGGCCTCAGTCACTGTTGCTGCCGGAGTGTGCTCTTTGGGAGAAGGGAAGGGCAGGGGTTGGAGAAAAGGGAATGCTTGCAGGAAACGTAGTGGGAGTGCGAACAGGGAGAGGGGCCGGAGGAAAGATGCCGGAGAGGTGGAGGAATGCGGGGAGGTGGCTGTGGAGGAGTCTTGAGGATTCTGGGGGGTGTTCATTGTGCAGATACGTTAGGTATTTCATTATGGAAATAACTGAAGCGTTTCTCAGGGAAGGAAAGAAGGAGATAGGAGTTCCTGTGAATAGAAAGGATCGCGTTTGAAGCAAGAGGGAGTGCTAAATAGTAGAGAAGATTCAGGGAATGCATAATAGAATAGACAGATGTAGCATAATTAATAAATATTGGCCTAAGGACTGAAGAGTTATTCCAGATGGGCCGGGATGGCCTAGTTCCGAACCTGTGTGGGCTCTTCAGTAGATGACATCTGGTAAGTGTGGGTCTGGGCTGTGGTTGGGGTCACTGAGAATTAGATTTTAGTCTGTGGTTTGGTCTGTGACATTTTAGACGTGCACCAATGAATATGAGAACCTCTGAAGCAGACCTTGAGAAAGGGCCGGGCCTGTGGGGATTCCTTAGGCCATGGAGCTTCGATTTTAGAAAATTTGAAGTATTAACACTTACCGGAGGTTGGGTAAATACTATCCTGGCAATTAAAATTAATTGACTTGGTGGTTTTCTTCACTGCCCAGTTTATCTGGTCCAGGAAAATTGGTGCTATTCAGCCTGGATTGCAGTACACAAGATTATAATTAATGGTGGGGGGAATACATGCACATGCTTGGTGGCTCTTCTTTGGATACTTCATTTGTAGCTCAAATTAGTCTAGCTGGCTGGATTGGTTCCATAAATCTGTGGCTGGTGGGAGATCTTCTGCCATTCACAGTTCCTGATGTGAACTGTGAGGGAGTTCTCCAGTGAAGAGAATACTCTCATTGAGGCATAGTGGTATTGAAGAAAACATATCAGCCAGCAAAGTGTGGGCCTGCAGAATGGAGGATCTAGAATATCTGTTTTGGTTTTAGGTTGCAAGGAGGTCAGGACTAGTTATCATAAGGTCTAGGGGAACCTAGGGGACTGGATGACTCTAGAGCCAGGTTGGAGGGAGGATTAGCATCTCTATATCAGGAAATGAACCAAGCTGTCTCTGGATTTGCTGAGCTCACACTAGCCCAGATTTCCAAGAGGGAACTCTGGGCTAGAACCATACTCTTAAAAACTACCTGAGTATTATTCACCTTTTATTAAGAAAAAACTATATATACGGCCGGGCGCGGTGGCTCACGCCTGTAATCCCAGCACTTTGGGAGGCCGAGGCGAGTGGATCACCTGAGGTCAGGAGTTTGAGACCAGCCTGGCCAACATGGTGAGGGTCTCAAACTCCTTACCTCAGGTGATCCGCCCGCCTCGGCCTCCCAAAGTGCTGGGATTACAGGCGTGAGCCACCGTGCCCAGCCAGATTTACTCATTCTTTTTTTTTTTTTTTTGAGACAGGGTTTCACTTTGTCCCCTAAGCTGGAGTGCGGTGGCTTGGATCATACCTCACTGCAGCCTTGACCTCCTGGGCTCAAGGGATCTTCCTACCTCAGCCTCTTGAGTAGGTAGAACTATAGGCATGCATCACCATGCCCCGGTAATTGTTTAGTTCTTTTGTAGAGATGAGGTCCCCCTATGTTGCCCGGGCTAGGCTCCAACTCCTGGCCTCAAGCAGTCCTTTTGTCTAGGTCTCCCAAGGTGCTATGGTTACAGGTGTGACACAGTGGCTTGGCCACTCATTCTTTTAAAGGACTTACCCCCCTACTCCTCCCCACCCAACCCCTGAGTCTCGCTCTGTCACCCAGGCTGGAGTGCAGTGGCGTGATCTCAACTCACTGCAACTTCTGCTTCTTGAATTAAAGCGATTCCCTTGCCTCAGCCTCCCAAGTAGCTGGGATTACAGGCATGCGCCACCATGTCCAGCTAATTTTTGTATTTTTAGTAGAGATGGGGTTTCGCCATGTTGGCCAGGCTGATGTCGAACTCTTGGCCTCAACTGATCCTCCCACCTTGGCCTCTCAAAGTGCTGGGATTACAGGTGTGACCCACCATGCCTTTCTAGGGCTTTTTTTTTTTTTTTTAAACATAGTATGCTGTACTCAATTGTATTGTCATCATGGCATGAGAGGGCTAGTCTTCCTTCCCTTTTCTCTCACCAGCACTGTATATTATCTGTTCTTTTAATTTTTGTAAGCAGAATGCCCTTAAATATGTCATTATTGTCTTTTTACCCTTTAAAATTTTTTAAAAAATTATTTATATTTTTTGAGATGGAGTTTCACTCTTGTTGCCTAGACTGGAGTACAGTGGCGTGATCTCGGCTCACTGCAACCTCCACCTCCCGGGTTCAAGCAATTCTTCTGCCTCAACCTCCCAAGTAGCTGGGACTAAAGGTGCCTGTCACTACCCCTGGCTAATTTTGTATTTTTAATAGAGATGGAGTTTCTCCTCGTTGGTGAGGCTGGTCTCAAACTCCTGACCTCAGGTGATCCACCTGCCTTGGCCTCCCAAAGTGCTGGGATTACAGGCGTGAGCCACCGTGCCCAGCCTCTACCCTTTTATTATCAAATTGTTCTGAGGGAACTTATTATGAAAAACAGCCCCTGTCTCACCTGTCTATTGCAGTTCCACTTTACTGAGGCCGCTACTTCTAAGCGTTAATTTGTATTTCTTACCATGCTTTTTTCCATGTCTCCAAGTAATAGGCATATAATATTATTTCTTGATTAATCAAAATGACATTATCAGGGAATCAGAAGATGTCTGTGAATGTGTCATTGACATTATCCTCTTTCTCCTCCTTTCTGACCTTTGATAGTTATTTTAGTTACTTTATTCGATGTGTTTATATTTTTAAATAATATGCTTAAACCTTGATTTTAGAGTCCAACAATCTTAGGCTGTATCTGTTGACTTCCCCATTATATTATAGGGATTTAGCCTAGATACGGCTCTCCTGAAGTAGAAGGAACATTGACAATTATACTAAAAATGCTGGATGAGATGATAAAGGGAAGTTTGGATGGACCTATGAGAAAGACCATGTTGTAGGAACCATCTTTGCAGCATAAGATTTGCTTGTTAGAGATGAAGAGGAGTTGCTTGACAATGATAGTAGTTCATCTTGGAATTAGCAGATTGTAGTATTCTTTGACAGTCTTCTGGAGAGTTTTAGTGTGGGAAATCTGGAAATGCATTAAAATGACCCTTGAATGTTATTTCTAGGCTTCTATGGCATTTTTTTTTTTTGAGACAGAGTCTCGCTCTCTCTCAGGCTGGAGTGCAGTGGTGCAATCTCGGCTCACTGCAACCTCTGCCTCCTGGGTTCAAGCAATTCTCCTGCCTCAGCCTCCTGAATAGCTGGGACTACAGGTGCCCATCACCACACCTGGCTAATTTTTTGTCTTTTTAGTAGAGACAGGGTTTCACCTTAGATGGTCTTGATCTCCTGACCTCATAATCTGCCTGCCTTGGGCTCCCAAAATGTTGGGATTACAGGCGTGAACCACTTCGCCCTGCCCCCGTTTTTTTTTTTTTTGAGACAGGGTGTCACTTTGTCACCCAGGTTGAAGTGCAGTGGCGTGATCTCAGCTCACTGCAGCCTCCACCTGGGCTCAAGCAATCCTCTTACCTCAGCCCCACAAGTAGCTGGGAATACAGGTGTGCGCCTCCACTCCCGGCTAATTTTTTTGTATTTTTTATAGAGACGGGGTTTAGTCGTGTTGCCCAGACTGGTCTTGAGCTCTAGAGCAGAAACTTCCTCTAGTCTCTAGGGAAACTCACAGCAGGTTGATTCTTGGGCTCAAGCGATCTGCTTGCCTCAGCCTCCCAAAGTGCTAGGATTACAGGCATGAGCCACAGTGCCCGGCCACAATTCTTACGTTTTTATTTTTTGGGGGGGATGTATTGGCATGGACATGTATTTTTTGGGGATGTGGTAGGGAGAGATGGGGAAATGTGGTAAGAGGAGGATGAGGAAGAGGAACAGGGTTTGATGGAGATGGTGATACATTTTGAGGAGGCTGAAGAAAAGGTAAAGAATTTTAAGGGGATTTGGATATAGTTAATGTGAAGGAGGTTTACTTTATGGTGATGAGACTAAAATTTTTGTCAATTTTAAGGAAATTAGCAAGTCACTAATATGTTGGGAATGTGGTAGGAAAAAACTACTGGGCTCGATCTCATATGTTAGGATAGAGTCATAAATTATTAGTGTTTTTGAAATTTGTGTATGAGGTGCAAATCACTGTGGTGGATATTCGGAGAATAAATATTGCTCCACTTATTTTTGGGAGTCTAAGTAATGACACCTCTTGAGAGTTTTCCTTACTTTCAGTGGCAACAGTATTCACAAGTAGTTTATGTATTGCTAAATTTTGTATTTGTGACAGTTATTCTCTTTGTTTTGCAAATGGTACATTGTAACCTGTTCTAGAGCAGAGACTTCCTATAGTCTCTAGGGAAACTCACAGCAGGTTGATTCTTAAGTGCTTAATAAATACCTGTTGAATGACTGATAGAAAGTAGTGTTCACTGTTAGCGGTAATAGGGGGATTGTATGAAATTGCTGAGTACTGCGTGGGTATTGTAGACAAAATTGTGTGTGTGTGTTTGACAGCGTACAGGACAAAAGGGATATCTGACTGGAGAGGACCTTTAGATTTAAGGGAAGAAGATGGAATGGATTAGAATGGAATTGCAACAGTTCTGTAACAACTTCGAAGAGGTGGGACTGGGGGGTCTCTTCTAAATTTGAGGCTAGTTTAATCTGGAGTAAAATCTGGTCTGTAGCAGGGTGCTGGTATAATTTAGATTTTTTTATACCTCAGACATAAATGACTGTTTTAGGACTGTCTGATTTAATTCTTTTTTAGGATAGTAAAAATAACATAAGCTTCTTCTCTCAAGGAAGTTATAGTATTCACAATTTTTTTGTTTTTGAGATGGGGTCTTGCTTTGTCGCCCAGCCTGGGGAGCAGTGGTGTGATCTCAGCTCACTGCAGCCTCTGCCTCCTGGGTTCAAACAATTCTCCTGCCTCAGCCTCCCAAGTAGCCGAGATTACAGGAGCGTGCCACCATGCCTGGCTAATTTTTTTTTTTTTTTTTGAGACGGAGTCTCACTCTGTCGCCCGGGCTGGAGTGCAGTGGCCGGATCTCAGCTCACTGCAAGCTCCGCCTCCTGAGTTTACGCCATTCTCCTGCCTCAGCCTCCCGAGTAGCTGGGACTACAAGCGCCTGCCACCTCGCCCGGCTAGTTTTTTTTTTGTATTTTTTGGTAGAGACAGGGTTTCACCGTGTTAGCCAGGATGGTCTCGATCTCCTGACCTTGTGATCCGCCCCTCTCGGCCTCCCAAAGTGCTGGGATTACAGGCTTGAGCCACCGCGCCCGGCTGCCTGGCTAATTTTTGTATTTTTGGTAGAGGTGGGATTTCACCATGTTGGCCAGGCTGGTCTTGAACTCCTGACCTTAGGTGAGCATCCTACCTTGGCCTCCCAAAGTAGTATTTACATTCTTTTGAGAGAGAAAGACAGTTGTGAAATAATTCAGTAATGGTACAAGATTTCAGAAAGTTGATTTTTAAAAACAAATATCAAAATTATATCTCTGGATAAGAATTTTTATATTTTGGTGGTCATTTTCAGTAGCAGTGTTCAGAATGTTTTTAGAACGCCTTTCCTGAATTAACTTCTGAGTACAATTCTATACAATTTCCCTATTTATTGAGTACCTATTGTGTGCTGTTGGGGGAAGGGGTCTATAAAGGTAAGAGAAACATGGTCCCCGTCCGCTAGGAGGTCATAATCCCTCTGAGAGGCACACCTTTTTTTTTTTTTTTTTCCCTGAGATTGCAGTATTCTTTGTCTTCTAGAGAGTTTTAGTGTGGCAAATCTGGAAATCTGTTAAAATGACGCTAAAATGTTTCCAGGCCTCTATGGCCTTTTTTTTTTTTTTTTTTTTTTTTTGAGGCAGGATCTCACTGTTACTCAGGCTGGAGTCCAGTGGCGCGATCTTGGCTCACTGCAACCTCCACCTCCTGAGTTCAACTGGTTCTTGTGCCTCAGCCTACCAAGTAGTTGGGACTAGAGGCACACACCACCACCCCTGGCTAATTTTTGTATTTTTAGTAGAGACACGGTTTCACCATGTTGGCCAGGCTGGTCTTGAACTCCTGGCCTTAGGTGATCCACCCGCCTTAGCCTCCCAAAGCACTGGGATTACAGGTGTGAGGCACTGCACCCAGCCCAAGAGGCACACTTTTGTTGTTTGTTTGTTTTTTGAGACGGAGCCTTTCTGTCACCCAGGCTGGAGTGCAGTGGCGCCATCTTGGCTCACTGCAAGCTCTGCCTTCCAGGTTCAAGCGATTCTCCTGCCTCAGTCTCCGAGTAGCTGGGACTACAGGCATGCACTACTACTCCTGGCAATTTTTTGTATTTTTTAGTAGAGATGGGATTTCACCATGTTGACCAGACTGTTGTCCAACTCCTGGCCTCAAGTGATCCACCCACCTTGGCCTCTCAAAGTGCTGCGATTTCAGGCATGAGTTGCCGCCCCAGGCCAAGGGGCGCACTTTTAAATAATACATGGTATAATCTTATTCTGAATGGTCTCATTGATGACGGAACTTTTTACTTTGAAATTTTGATTTTTAGAAATGCTGAAGGTTAGTCAATTTCAAATAGAATGAATAAAGAATAGTTTTGCCTTAAATCCAGTTAATCACAGAAATGGGAATAATTTTCTTGGTTGACTTATTAGCTGATTTTGAAAACACTCCCAAGGAGGAAGTTGGGAATATTTTGAACAGGGGTGATAGCTTCACATGTAGTTAGTTAGGCACTACATAAATGTTGGTTGAGTGCATCAGCTGGTTGGATGGATGGAGTGAATAAATGAGTAAGTGGTAGCCTTCCAAAGTAACTTGTTTTAAAGAGGACTATACTGATTTGAATATGTAAATAAATTCTTTTAAAAAAATTCATTTTTCTCAGATGAAATAAATTCTGAGGATATTTGTTAATAATTTTATTACCTTGAGCAAGATAGTTTAAGTTCACAAATGAGTTTTACAGACAGTAAGTGCTGTAGGAGTTCAGGGAATGGAGAAATGAACATTGGCTAAGGTTTGGTGAAATGATTTAAGTGAACCATACTTTAGCTTGATATTTGAAAAGATTCCTTAGGGATCTTAGAGAGGAACTAAATGACTCCAAATTTCTCTTGCAGCCCTAAAGTGAACCTAGAGTCTGGATCTATTTTTGTCTGAATGCTTTCTGCCTGTTTTCGTTTTAGCTACTCCTACTGGTTTGTTCCTTTCAGATTCACATTTGTTTGGTAGATGTTGAGCCCCCTGAAACAACTGTGGGGTCTGTTTTCCATCTTTGTATAGTGTAACTTTTAGTTGTTCTTTTATGAGCCTGTACACCACAAATTACTTGGCCTTCATGAGAGAAGAGCATGAGTCAACTTGGCCCTGTTATCCTGGCATTTTCCTGCATGCTTTTCTCAAAGCTGCTTTCTGAATTACGGAATAGAATAGACAGAACTGAGGGCATGTGTCCAGTAGACACAAGCTTGTTGAATGAATGAATGAATGAATGAATGAATGAATGAGATATTTGAAATAATTTAGATCTGAATTGTCTATATGTTTTATGTTTCTTTTTCATTTATTCATAACCTGCCTTTTTCTACAAAGGACTTAATGGGGCTGCCAGACTATACGCACTAGCAGTGAATTGAGATAATTCAAGAAGTCTGGTTAAAGAGATGGTGAAGAAAAGAAAAATCTGTTTAAAGAATATAGATCAATGTGTATGGATGTTAGAGAACTAGGAATAAGGTAGAAGATGAGCAGACGGGGAAGGAAAAGTGGTATCTGATAGAAAGGGTGATTCTGAAGGAAGGAAAAGATTACTGAAATACGACAAGCTATGTTTGGAGGAAAGCATGAGAAGATGGAAGGTAAAGAGGATTATTTGAGAGGGCTGTTCTGAGGAGGAAGATAGTAAGGCTATTTGAAGGATAAGAGTCAACAGAAGGTTGGAATATAGTAGAATCTATTAAATTATGTTGATTTGTAACTGGGGGTTTCAGAAAATAATGGAATGAGTTTTCTTTAATAGATAATGCACATTTGTTATATGCAAAAGCATATAATGCTTTGCTGTCAGGAATAAATCCTTTGGGATTTATATTCTGGTAGGGCAGCTGGGCTTGTGCACAAATACCTGTACTGTAATCACAAATATATCTGTGAGTCACAAATATACCAAATATTACTGAATTTAAAAGGCAGAAAATGCATTTGATTAGGAGAAAACCTGAGACAGCATTTTAATGGCATAAAAGTGGAATTTTAGCTAGTCTTTGAAGGGATTAATAGGATTCTTTTTTTTTTTTTTTTTAAGTTTTGGATTGATAGGATTTTGATTTGCAAAGATTACTGAAAGAGAGCATTCCTGCCTGGGAGATTAGCATAAGCAAAGCTGTGGAGGTGAGAAGCCCAGGAGATGTGGGGAATGGTAAGTTAGGTTTAAATTTTTAAACTATGACCTGTAGTAAGAAATACATGTCACATTTCCATCTAATATATGCATGTGTGAATGTTTTTGTGTGGGTAAAACAAAAAGTTTCATAATACAGTAACTGTCCTTACAATGGTAGATGCAGTTGGATGTTGTCTATTTTGTTTGACTAAAAAGAAAAAAAACTGGCCAAGGGGGAAGAAAAAAAAGCTGATTGTTCCTCATTAAACTGATTTCATGACTGACAAAATAATTGATCACAATCTATCGTTTGAAACACAAGAGTTCATGAATAAGGTATAATACAAGGTAGGAGAGTCAGTTGGGGGTGGGTTGAAAATGGATGGCCTTGAAAGCTAAGCTAAGTAGTTTGTATTTGATATGATGTAGTGTTGTGCTTGGTAAGCAAACAGAAGCTGGGTTTTAGTCTTGGCTCTTCTATTTACCCACTGTATGATTATGGAGAATTATTTCCTTTCTGAGTTTCCATTTTCTCATCAAATTGATAATCATACTTTCCTGGCAAGGGTTATGGTGAGGATGTGAGAATTAAAGTATGTTAACATAGGATTAAAGTATGTTAGCATACATCATTAGTGTATAACTGTTGAACTTTCCTGAGTAGAGAATTGAGCCAAGGACTGTATATTAGATAGCTTCACCTGGCTGTAGCTATACCTTACTGGATAGATTGTGGGTAATGTGGTGGTAGAGTAAGATTGTATGTGAAAAGACCAGTTAGGAAAAAAAAGCCCAGTTAGGTGGCTACTGGAGAAATTAAGAAGGGCTTGAATTAGTTTGATAGCAGTAAGATTAGAATATGGGAGTGGAATGCAATTGGAGGTAGGGAAGAGGGGAAGATGACTAGAAATGCACTATTTATTTATTTATTATTAATGAATGAACGAACATCAGGCTCTTGATCTGTTGCCCAGGCTGGAGTGCAGTTATGTGAACACGGCAGCTCACTGCAGCCTCTACCTCATGGGCTCGAGTGATCCTCTTGCCTCAGCCTTCTGAGTACCTGGGACCACAGGCATGTGCCACCACGCCTGGCTAATTTTTAATATTTTTTGTAGAGATGTGGTCTCACCATGTTGCCTGGGCTGATCTCAAACTCTTGGGCTCCAGTGATCCCCTCCCTTGGCTTTCTGAAGTGTTGGAATTACAGGTGTGAGCCACCATGCCTGGCTGACTGGAAATTTAGAGTTGTACAGATACTCAAATGGCAGCAGCTGAAATTGGGTTATATTTTTGGGTAGTTTAGTGGAGTACATTAGAGTATAGTTTCAGTTTCTTTCATGTAGTAGGTGCTCAATTATTTGTTGAATGACAGAAACTAAATATGTGAACTATGGGATGAATTGTGAGTAGAAGCAGTGATGGGTGGATATGAGAAGGAGGGTTAGACTGAAGGATACTTTGATGGACTGCCAGAATTAATTCATTCAGGGAATATTTTTGTATTTACTGTGTGCAAGGTTCTATGGTAGGGAGTGTGAAGGATACATGTTTATACACAGTCTGTGTGCTTCAGGAATTTATCCAGGGACAAAATATACACATCCGTCTATGACACAAGTACTATGGCAGGTTTGTTCAGGGTTGGCTTTGTGGAGAAATTAGTGGTATAGCTTAGACCTTGAAGGATAAATAAGATAATAGGCAAAATGGTGAGGGTTGGCCTTCCTAGAAGAAGGAGTGATATGAGTGACAGTGAGCAGAGTTCAGGGTATGTTTAGGGGTTGGTGGTCTAGATTAGCTATAATTTAGGGTTCATGTTGAGGAATGGAGGGAAATAAAACTGGAAAGTAGGCAGACTATCTCAAAATTCAGGCTAACTTGGATTTTGAAAATTTATTGAGATACATACAGTAAAGTGCTCCAATCTTAAGGGTACTTAGGTATAAATTTATGTAGCCACCACCCAGTTCAATATACAGGACATTTCCAACTTCCAGAAGGATGCCTCATGTGCAATTTCCAAGCTGATATCTCATCCAACCAAAAATAACTATTATTCTGACTTTTGTCATACGAGAGTAGTGTTGTGTGTTTTTGAATTTTGTATAAGTGGAACCCAATTTCTGTGTCTAGTTTCTTTTTCTCAAGGAGCATGTCTGTGAGTTTTATCCATGTTATGTTAGGCAGTTGTTTATTCTTTTTCATTGCTGTGTGATATTCCATCATATGAATATACCACAGTAGATTTATCTATTCCATGATTATTGGATGGTTTCAAGTTTTTTGAAGTCTGAGGAGTTTGTTTTTTTTTGGAGGCAGAGTCTCACTCTGTCACCCAGGCTGGAGTGGTGCGATGTCTGCTCACTGCAACCTCCGCCTTCTGGGTTCAAGCAATTCTGCTGCCTCAGCCTCCTGAGTAGCCAGGATTACAGGCACGTGACCCCACGCCCAGCTAATGTTTGCATTTTTAGTAGAGACAGGGTTTTGCCATATTGACCAGGCTGGTCTCAAACTCCTCACCTCAAGTGATCTGCCCACCTCGGTCTCCCAGAATGCTGGGATTACAGGCATGAGCCACCATTCCCGGCTGAAGTCTAAGGAGTTTTAACTTAAGTCAGTATGCAGTGGAGAACTGTTGTTGATTTTTGAATGGGTAAGAGAATATTTAAGAATACTAATCTAGTGACCTTTCTTTTTTGTAATGAAGAGAACCTGGTGGCTGGGAGACAAAGTTAGGAAAAAGCGTGAAGTAGGCTGGACACAGTGGCTCACGCCTGTAATCTCAGCATTTTGGGAGGCTGAGGAGGGCAGATTGCTTGAGCTCAGGAGTTTGAGACCAACCTGGGCAACATGGCGAAACCTTGTCTCTACAAAGATAAAAAAAAATTAGCCGGATGTGGTGTTACATACCTGTAGTTCCAGCTGCATGGGAGGCTGAGGCAGGAGAATCGCTTGAACCCAGGAGGCAGAGGTTTCAGTAAGCCGAAATCTACACTCCAGCCTGGGTGACAGAAGGAGACCCTGTCTCAAAAAACAAAAAAAACAAAAAAAACAAAAAAAAAAACCCAAAGTGAAGTATTGAGGATGTAAGTTGGGCCGTCATAGTGGGAATAAAAGGAGAGGGATAGAGATAAGAAATACCTCAAAGAAAGAATGGGAAGGTTTGATGGCAGATAGGCTTTTGGGAAACAGCAGAGAAAAAAGAAAACTGAAGAAAAGCTCTAGGGCTTTTAATCTGGGTGACTGAGATTGATGGTGCCATTAGTAGAAATTATTAGATCACTTAGCAGAACTGTTTTGGGGTTTTAAGACACATTGACCTGTGTATGAGGCATCAGTACTGGATTGGAGCTAAGAAAAGAAGTGCAATATAGAGTTGGGAATACATACATAGAGTTGATAATTGCAGCTACTAATTCTGGATTTAGTTAGGGCACTGACGGTTATGAAATTATTTGGACTGATAATTGAAGTGTTAATTGAAGTAATAGTTGAAGAATCTAGTTAAAAAGAAATCATTATATATTCCAATTCTAGTTAAAAAGCAATTATTATGTATTCTAATTCCTCGGGAGTAAATTGGATTGTAGGAGAGGGTGATGGTTTAAAGATTATTTTGGGTAGCTGGGGGAAGATAGCCATATGAAGAATGAAAATGTAGAAACAGTGGTGAGGGATGAGACCCTTAGTAGCTAAGAATTATAGGAGGCTTCAGGTCAGAACTTGGGAAGATATCCACAATTTGGACTAGGAAGAACAGCAGTGATTTCAGATAGAAGAAACAACCAGAGACATCAGAGTAGAATCATGTGCTACAGTGACATAAAGCAAGGTGGATAGCTCAAGTGTCATTGCCAAAAAGAGGGTAAGGACTGGCTGAGCATAGTGGCTCATACCTGTTATTTCAGCACTTTGGGAGGCTGAGGTGGGCATATTGCTTGAGCTCAGGAGTTTGAGACCATCCTGGGCAACATGATGAAACCTCGTCTCTACAAAACATAATAAACTTTGCTGGGTGTGGTGGCTTGCGCTTGTAGTCCCAGCTACTTGGGGGGCTGAGGTGGGAGGATCACTTGAGCTTGGGAGGTGGAGGTTGCAGTGAGCTGGTATCGCACCACTGCACTCCAGCCTGGGTGACAGAGTGAGAGCCGGTCTCAAAAAGAGCAGTTCAGAGACCAGAGTGCATGGGGATTTACTGAGTGGGTTGGAAGAATATGGAAGCAATAAATACAGGCATTGAATAAAGAAGTTTAGTTTGAGAAGGAAGAACAGCAACTCTTATTCTAAAACTGGAGGCAAGAAGTAACAGATGGGTGGAGATATAACATTTTAGAAACTGTGAAGAGGATTTGATTACAGGTGGAGAAGGTGTGATTTGAGGGAATTTTATAGAAGGGTTTGAGTATTTGATGGGATTAGGGATTCAAATATGAAAATGATTTGGATTAGTCAATGAGATGGAGAGTTGTATTTAGAATAAATCTGTTGTGGAAGATTTCATAGCTTTCTGGTGGTGCTTAACACCCACCAGTGCGTGGGTGTGGAGGAAACAGATGGTGAGGATTGTCTATCACTGGGGAGATGCATAGTGAGAATAATGGAAGGTCATGATATTCTGGAGAGGACAGTGTTAAAATGACTGTTGGAGAGGTTTAAATTATATAGGGAGACAATACAGCCAAGTGGAGGTAAAGAGCAGGTCTACAACTAGAATATAAAGTGGTTGTGGATAAAGAAAAGGGGAGTGGTCTCTGAAGTTATAATCCTAGTGGATTGTAAATTTTTTTTTTTTTTTTTGAGACAGGGTCTCACTCTGTCACCCAGGCTGCAGTACAGCGGCATCAGCTCACTGCAGCCTCTGCCTCCCGGGTTCAAGTGATTCTCCTGCCTCAGCCTCCCAGGTAGCTGGGATTACAGGCATGAGCCACCATGTCTGGCTAATTTTCTGTATTTTTAATGGAGACAGGGTTTCACCATGTTGCCCAGGCTGGTGTTGAACTCCTGACCTCAAGTGATCTACCTGCTTTGGCCTC